TGGATTTTCCTACTTTTATTTCTCATTGATGAAATAACGATATTACATTTCCTGAAGATCCATGTTCTCTGAATTTGGGAATCATAAATGTTTGTGAGGAGCTCTAAGTAATGATTTAATAACAGGAAGAAAATATTAAGTACTATGCCTAAGGGAGAGGCATAAAGGTAGCCATCATCTGGAGCTGATAGCAGCTGAACTCTGATTAGGAATGAGACCTGTTTTTTACAGACCTGTTTTAGAGTGCAATCACTGGAATGCAAAAAGGGAAAACAGCCAAATCGCTGCGCTTTGATGTCTCCAGAAGAAGAATGTGTACTTTTCTAGATGATTTATGTTGGTCAAAGACAATTCCCTGGCTCAGCTGGAGTGACAATCTAGTAATAGCCCCTGGATGCAATACTGATTCACACCGCGATCCATTCTGGCCTTGGATTCCACACTTTTTCTAATTTATTGGGAAACAGTGGAAGTGTTTTTCATTACACATGAACAACTGTATGTTTAGTGAGGATTTAGTATGACGTGTCCCTGAATATGGTGGGGAGAATTTTCTGATTATCAAAGTGTGAACTGTCAGTGGATTAATTTTCCTAAGCACTTGGAGAGCAGTGTTCTTATGGTATTTACATGCCTGGAGATGCAGAGAGCACTGCCAATGCTTACTGGTGCCAAAAGTGGTTAGAAAACAAATGACTGATTTCCAGAATTAGATAATTTGGAAATACAGTACTGTGTCTTTCTGCATCTTTAAGCATATCTTTTAATGCCTGATGCCAAGTGACTGCAGGACCTACTCCTGCTATCAAAAGCACCCCCATCAGTTAGGAACTGCTGTGAGGCATGTGCAGGGACAATGAAAACAGGGCTATCAGGCAAAGTCTTCAACCGTGCTAACTGCCCAAGACTAGTCATTTCAGCTTGCTGTAACTCACTGGGCTGCCAGCAGTAGCAGCTCTGAAGATGCTCCACTGGCAGCCAAGGTGCCTCTGCTGCAGAGACAAAAAAGGACTCCATCAGGCACCAAGACAGCAAGTTGGCCTTGCTCCTGAGCCCCAGCCAGCTCCCACTGAGGCTCTTCTAAAAGACTTGGATGCTCCTCAACAATAAAGTTAAACCCTTAACTCATTTAGTTGCCTTTCATTCTCTCTTTTTCCTTAACTCGCCTTCTATGAAAATGTCAGTGACAGTCACTGCTAGTTTTTCTTGCATGAGACTTGGCTCAAAGTTAGACATATGTTCTGTTTATGTGCTGTAGGCATAGAACATATAACAAGCTCAGCCAGGGAAAGGACCCACAGTAGTTACCTGACAGTATATAACACACTAACGTATCAATGAATCACTCAATAAAGTAATAATAGCAGGTAAGAAAAAGCCAGGAAGACCCACAGACTCCTATCTGTTCTGCAAAATGAAAAACTAATTCATAAGAACTAGCCTATGGAATTGTGTCCCGTGTTCTTGAAATCTCTGTATGTTGTAAATATCATGCATAGTGAATGACTCATCCTTTAAAGGCAAATGCTCAATTTAAATCAGAGAACTCTTGACTTTTTTTTTTCTTAAAGATAAGCAATAATTTATTTCTCTTTCATCTTCACAATTATCACATACTGCCCAGCTACATGACCAATGCCACTACATAACACAGGAGAATTGCCCACCTACACTTTACTTGGACAAATACAATTGCAATTTACAGATTAAATGTACTGTACAATGTGTAGTTGGAAAATGTCATTCTTATCTATACGATGGGATGTGGCATATGATTTATAAACAGATGCAATCTAAGATGTAAAACTTTAAAACTTGTTAAGCCAAGGATACAGTATAAAGCATTTTCTTTTGGTATTGTATTGTTACTAAAGTAGAAAAAAAGAAAACTAGAGAAATAAATCCAGATCTTAACTTACAGGATATGTATTAGGTTAAGAAATTAATTGGCTTTTCCACTTTTTTTGTTTTGCTTTTCTTTTTCTTTTTTTTTTTCTACAAATGAATAATATGAATATATTGCAGGATAAAGAAAGACTGCCAGATAAAGAAGGTACCGTTATATGAAAAACGAATGAAAAATTACCAGGTAATTTTGCTTACAAAAAAGGTCAAACTATAAACAGTCACAAAATATATAAAAATGCCACATTGAACGAGGCAATCGTACTCTACCTAAACTGGTAGTATACTCTCTGAAAGAAGTTGCGTTCATACAGTAGTAACTGATAAGAAGGCATTGTGCACTCTTGTGCCATCTGGAGATTTAGCACCATGTGTCATCAGTTCTTGGATTGTCATCCAGTTGTCCAAGATTTTCTTGTTTCTCTTTTTCATCATCTTTTTGTGACTCAGTTCAATAATGTTAATTTCCTTTTTGCCCTCGCTGCCACTTTGCGGACTTTCCTTAAGACACTCCAGCCTGCTCCTCATCATGAACTCCCGCCGCCTCCTCTGCTCCTTAGCTCGCACCAAATGCTGCTTCCGCTCTTCTTTGCTCCAGTAGCGACCCATCTTCATCTCACTCATCGTATCATCATCTGTCGTCATCCCACTGCGCTCCTCTTTAATTTTTAAGGCACGTTCCTTCAGGATTCTGTCCCGAACTGGTCTCTTTGTGATGTACCTCGTCCCATCACTCCTTATTTTCACTTTCCATTCCATCTTGGGCTCCGCACACTTCTGCGAGTCTTTGCACATACTCACCAGGCTGAGCTGGCTTTGGGCGTACTCCACAGCAGACTTCTGCTGGATCAGTTGCATATAGCTTTGATAGTGCTTTGCATGAGCAGGTATATTCCCATACCTGTAAGAAGAGCTGTGATATGGAGACAGGTAGGGAATGTGCTCGCTGCTCTGCTTTTCCTGCTCTGTGAATTTGCTGCTTTCTGATGCCAGCACTGCATTCTCAGCAGCACTGTTTTGCTCAGTGGGTTTGGTTTTGGCTGAGGTTGCCTCCCTGTTGCTTTGTCCTGAGGATGACTGATTAGCCACAATTGTGCTCCTCAGGTTTTTCCTGTTGGTTATGCTGATCAACCTCTGGAGAGAATTATCGGGGGATCGCTCCACTGTAAGCGGAGTGCTCCTGCAACTTTCAGCTGTGTTGTAGGCGCTGGAGCTGTCCTTGTCAGACTTCTCAGGGTGCTCCATGATGTCATCCAGTTTGCCTCTTTGTACATCTATGCTGGTGTTATAATTCCTGAAGCCTTCGTCATGTAAAGCCCAAATGTCTCCATACTGATCCCTCACCTTTTGGAGCCGGTGAGCTTGCATAATATTCTGACATTCGAGTTCTATGTTCCTCAGTTCCTCATTGAGTAGCTGCAGCTCATGCTCCACTCCATCTTGCTCTCTTCTGTTGCACTCTATCATGCTGCTCGAGTAATACAGGTCATACTCCCCGTGGTTTCGAATCTTGCACTTCAGTTCCAACAGCTGTCGAAACCTTTCACATTCCTCCTCTGGGTTTCCTATGAAATCAGATTCAATGTATTCCCCAGACACAAAGCTTTCATTGCACTGGAGCTCAACACTTCCTAACGTATCTTGGCTGTGGCCCAGCTCTCGTTTGCTCTGCAGGGTAATGCTGTTCTGCTCCTCAGGTGCATTTTCTTGCTCTGAGCTCTCATCATTACGCAGACTTTCATCTGTAGGTCCCACCCCACTGTCCTTCTCATGATTGTTGGATGATGATGTTGCAGTGTCTGTAGTACCATCCTCCTCTTCATGTTTCTTTGGCTAAAAGAATGAGCAAACGAAAATGATTATCAAATGCAGACCATATTACATGAGAATATTTCCTAGTTCTGTTTTTCTTAAACAGCTGAGATCTGATTTAAGCTGAATTAAAACAGATGACTAAACAGCAGTCCTACTGCTCACAGCTTTTAAACATTTCTGAGAGTCATGCTGTGGTGGCCATACAGAGCAAAGTAGATGAATTACAGCACTAGTGACATATCTTCTAAAGTCCGGAAAGAAATATTTCCCTCTCTCACTAAGCCATCTCTTTGCAGTGCTTAAAGATAATGATCACCAGATGGTGCACTGTTTTTGGCTCTGGATTATGGCCAGACACTGGTGGAGCTGAAATCTCAAACTTACAAAAATGCTTCGGTACTGGTATCACTTCAAAAAGAATACAACAAGCAGCCAATCAAACAATGACTAGTACAACCTAAGAGGGTGCAAAAAGACCCCTGGTTTGTTTTTTTTGTTTTTTTTTTTTTTTTAACCAGTGAACAACTTGTTTCCTTCATGGAGATGAGCAGGGTTAGAAGCCTGCAGAGGGCTATCCTATTCCACTACACCCTCCTCAGCCCTCTCTCACACTTCTCGTTTTTAGTAGTCTTCTTCCAAAAGTCTGTTCATTTTGATTTCTAAGATTTTGCTCAAGTGGACTTCTGTCCGTTGCGTCCCTGGAGACCATTTTTGTTCCCTAGTTAGAGTTTATGTTCCTTAGAAATAAAACCAGCCTTTTACCATTAAGTGTAGAGCAACGCTGACTACTTGCCATGGACATAATGTCAAGCTTTTAGGCTGTTGTTTTTTAATTCACACTCCACACATTGTACCTAACCTATTTATGTTCTCAACCTATTTATATTCTCAAAGAATGTGAGATAATACCTCTCTGAAGAAACAGACACTTTTTATTTTTCAAACTTGGTAAGCAAAGAATCATGCAGAGTGCAATTTATATGGCCTGTTCGCCAAATATCTAAATATATATAGTACCAACCAAATGCCGTTTCTCTTTTAGGAGGTATTAATTGCATAATTATGTATAATGGTAGTAATAATCAAGGCAGAAAGAAGGTACAGTGCACCCAGTGAAAGGAAATAAACTCAGAGGCCACTGTCATAATTCTTTTTTTCTCTACTTTGACAGACAGGATGAAAATGTGTCTGCTATCTCATTCTTTCTCCTCTCTTCATGTGCATGATCACACACCCTTCATCTGGTTTCCTTTCTTCAATTCCTATGAAAAAATAATGACCTAGTCTCAGAAAAACAAAAATCACCTCCACCCCCAAAATGCAATGTAGTAGTGGAATAAAATAAATACTGAAAGAAACACAACACCAGGAGAGTTCAGTGTCTGTGACAGACTAGTTAAACATTTCTGAAAAGGATGCTTTAGCAATTTGTTGTCAGACAAGACCTGCAAAGAAAATTTTCTCTTTAAAATTGTACCATACTTTTTATGCTCATCCTTTTGCACATAACAAAATGCACAATAAATCTATAATTCTCATGTAGCTTTGGCAGCCACACCAGCAATATGCCAATTACTACCTCTCACTCTCCCCAAATGGGAAGAAACTCTCCCCTTGAATTTAGACATCATGGGACAGAATGTCTTCAGTGTTATTCAAGAGGTCATGCAAAGGTTCAGTGTTTCTTGAACATTGTAGGGTCAGAATTTTCTAGAAATTAGATTTTGAAACTGCAAGGTTCAAAGGCGCACTTTCATGAAAATTCTGCAAGTTTTAAAAATTCAGTAGTACGTCTTTTCCCCATCTGAATTCCTCTCAGATTTTTCTACTTATCTACTTAAAAAAGAGGGTATCTTTTCACAGGAAGAAGCAACATGAAGACTAGTACCAATAACAGTCTAAATAACTAAATATTGTAGAATTGTTCTATAATTATAATTTTTCTATTCTTTCTTTCCTCAGCTTACACAATTGCTGCAAAGCTGTATAAAGCATATTGGAAGACTTTTTATTAAGGCTCTTGTTATATCTTTCCAAAGTGGCTGCAACACTTTAGTCTCATTTTCAGGAGTAGCTGGAGAAGTGGTGGGAATGTAATGTTTTTCCACATCACCTATTTTTTAAGAGTTCCAAAATGTTCTATTTTACACAGAGAAAAACCACAATGTCTAGCGAATGAAAACTAAGAGAAACCAGAAAGATGAGCACCCCAGCCAGCCAAGTGGCCAGGTCATTCACCAGGAATCCTGGAGATTCAGGTTTAATTTAGGTTTAATTTGGTTTTTTTTTTTGACATTTAGGTTTAATTTTGTATTTTTCTAGTTTATCTCTTCCAGGTGAGTGCCCCTACATAAGCTATTCTGGTCCCTTCTCTCACCTGCTTTGGAGCTGCTCCAGCTTGTATTGCCCTCTTCTACCCCCAAATGCCCCCATGTCTCCAGCATGGTGTCATACCACCAAAGCATATATTTGAGCACTTCCATAAAATCCCTTGATTTTTCTATTTGTATAGGTGTTGGAAACAGACTTTACAGTTCGGGCTCACGCAATCAACACTTTCAGAATTAGTGGCTCTTGTTTTCCACACCACTTTTATTGACAATTTAAACTTTGCTCCTTCAATTTCCACTCAATTTAGACTGAGTGAATATAACACACTGCCATCTACTCAACTTACACTACCCATAATTAATGCACACACAAATACAAGACGTAAACAAAGCAAACCCCATCTTTCCAGTCTAACTGAAATCAGATGGGTGGGATTGATTTGACCAAATGTAAGTGTCTATAGTACAGGCACCTAAATGTCAGGTAGTGACTTTGGCTTCCCCTCCCTGTCAGGAAGAAACAAGTTCCTGTACTGTTCAATCTAAATCAGACATCCATATCATGTAAAATCTTTCCTCAGTATGTGGATACTTTCAGATAGTTTAATTAAGAACATGAAAAGTAATACAGATATTTATTGTACTGCATGTTTTTGAGATGTATTTTTTAAAAAATCCACTATGACCCAAGTAAGGCAGCCCCTGGCATTTCTGCCCTGGACTTGCCATGCTTGCTAGAGCTCCTAAACACGGGCAAACTGAGCAGTCTTTTACATGAGTCTACTCTAATTTTATTTTGAAAGGTAGAAAGCCTAATTCCAGGTTAAGTCCCTTCTGAAAAATAAGAGAGTCTCCAATTGTCAGCTCATTGCTTTTGTCAGTGTTACCTATTATCTATTCCAAACAAAGTGTTTGTTTTCAAACAAACTGTTGTCAATCTCTTCTACAATTACTTCTGTTTGAAATACCAAAGGGCTCCTTAGGCCTCATCTTTGCAGTGAGAACTCAGATAATGAGAAGGCGAACCTGGCTGTGTGTACAGTCAAGCAATAAATGAACCTCGAAAGATTCTGCATTTCAGCTCCAGCAAGCATTGATGCCTATAAAATGGCTAATCTTGCAGGAATTCAAGCAATGTTTTATTCTCATTTTACAACTTATTATGTATATTGGGACTCAAAACCCAGACTGCTACTAAAGTCTGAAGGCAGTGAGATGCAGTTGAAGGTTTTAATAAATGTAGCAGCTGGGCTCTCCAGTCAGTCTCTGACAGTGAGAGGAAGACTGACCACAGTGAAAGGAATCTCCAGCGGCAGGCTAACCACGAGGTACTCTAGTCATGAGGGAAGATTGGGATTGATTTCAGTGGTGCACTAAACGGGAAAATGCTCTTCTGCAAACAATGCTGTTCTTTTAAAACAAGCCTCTTAAAAAAGAATTTCCCCCAGATATTTTCACTGCATTTCAGCTTTGAATGAACTAGAATGATTTTTTTTTATTAAATTCTTTCTCTTCTTAATAGGTTTTGATATATTCCGTGATAGTGATAAGAATTTCTGCATGGCAAATGTATGGTATTCTTCTGAAAGTTATCTCTGCTGCACAATGAACTGCAATGTTGTAAAGGGGAAGGGATACAATGTGTTATAAAAAATGGAGAATTACATCTTTCCTCAAGGTTTATTGGACTATTCCATACAGCGAAGATACAATTCTTGATTGAATTCTATAAAGTGGCTCAAAAACACAGAAAAGACACGACTATCTACTTGTTTCTTCTGTTACAAAGTGTACGAAATTTTTCTATGACAGCTCACGCTAAATGTTAAAATGGCATTCTGTAAAACAGGCTCGCATTTGGAAGGCTATTTTGCTATAGTGCGTATTCATTCCTGCAGCTTGCAAGATTCATGATGACAGATGATTATGAAGCCAGAAGCCTATATTTTTTGTTCACAAAAATCGAGGCTGGCATTGGAGCAAGCCACGGCCAGCCAGAGGGGCTTGAAGATACTCAGCTTGGCCACTGGCAGCTGCAACCAAAGTGGTTGCATTGCTCCAATGTGACTCACCTCAGGAAACTGCTACGTTTCCCAGCCTAACAAGGGGTAAAGAACCAGTTTTCCGACTTGCCGAGTCACTACATAGAGTCTAGAGAGACAGCAGCTGTCACAAATTACCGACGCTCCATTACACACCAAGCTGCATTTGGTTGATTCGATTACTCATCAGAAGGGCAAAGAAATGTCTGGCTGTCCTAGAATTACTTCAAGCAACCCAACGTCAGACACCGACAGAGCACTAGTGACCATAATTTTTTCAATGATAGCTCTCTTCTACAGTAATATAAACTCTCAATAGGTGAAAAAAAAATTATCCTCAGTGTAAGATCCCAGTGGGGAATAAACAATCTCAATGGGTTCTGTGAAACCACTTTACGGAACACCGCTGTTCAATAATTAATACTATCCACAACTCAAATTCAGTGAAAAAGCCAAAGCTTGACAAGAACTTGGGAGCGGAAGGTCACAACTGTGAAGTGATTTCAGAGGTCCCAACACGTTGTGTGAGGGGCTAATAGAGGTTTGTAGATAGACCTACTCAAGAATTTCTACCGGAAGTGGAGGTTTGTGTAAAAATGTCACTGTGCAAAGGAAATTTCTTTGTGAAGAACAAGTGTTCTTTCTGGCAGGAAATCTTTTGCTATCCAAGATAAAAATTATGGTTAAAAAAATAAACAAGATGCCAAATATCAGTTCAAAGCAGCTAGCAGTGCAGCAGTTAGCACATTTCACCTGGGAAACTGAGCTTGGCTCACTGCCTGGAAAAGAGGGTCATAACTAAAAGGCCACTATAAATCCTGTTGCAAGGCTCCCTTCACCTCTGACCTTGGAGTTATTCCACTTTCTGTAAATAGCTAAATGCTTATGAGATCAAGGATTTGTAATCTGATCTATCATATTCCAGATAATTGACTTAAATATTCTGTCAGTGTCTCTGTCTCAATGAGTATTCAATTTATATACAGTGAATAGCTTTAATAGGAGCTATCACCTAGTCAATAGCCCAGCATCAAGGCTGGAGGGGAGGTGAGGAAGAAACAGCCTAGATGCATGTTCAGGCCCTCAGTGTGGACCAGGCGGTGAGGTATTTGAATCCAGGTCTCATGTTAGCCAAATAAGCTCCTTGGTTTCCAGAAGAAGGAAGGCTCTCACCATCCTTCTCCCTCTCTTCACTTCAAAGAAACATGCGTCAGGCTCTGCTTTTGAGCAATTCAGAATGGGGAAAAAATTGTAAGTCACAATGGGTGGAAAACCAGTTTTTCCCCAGCTGCATATATGCAGAAGTCAGGAGATGAAGTTGGATTTTATTTATTTGGCTCCACACAGGTATGCCTGCTGACAGACCATCTGATCCAGAAGTGGATAAGGTCACTTACACCTTCCACAATAAAGTACAACCAAGAAGACCCACCCATTAATGAAACTGTATGGCTGGGGATGCACATGCACCTTTGCCACAGTCACACTGCTTACAGCACATATGGGCAGGTAAATGTTGGGATAGCAGCAAGCTGAGACTATGCTAACAATATGCTTATTTGTCTCCATTAACAAAACAAATGCTGAGCTGTGCGCTGTCAGTATAAGAAAAATACACTTGTATTACCAAAACACCTGTTGTTTATTCGAAACGACTCTTCCATCTTGTTTTGCAAGCTGTCTGGTGCAAGGGCTGGCTCACACCTTGCACGCGTACAACAAGAGGGACACCTATCCCAGCTCGGAGCTCTAGGTGCTATGCTGATACAATTCATTAAAAAAATCCTTGATATAAAACATAACAACATAAACCCCAAACACTTCAGAATTAAAGAAGGATGGCAGCATTATTCTGAGAATTCAGAGAAAATGAGAAACCTGCACTTATCACAGCCTCCTAAATTGTTTGCTAACTTGTCATATTGGGCCTAAACATCTATTGTTCTCCTTTTCTTTACCTACAGCATGCCAGAGTTCACAGCATTTTAGTGACAGAACTCTATCAAAGCCTTTGACTCCATTGTACAGCATATCACTTCATTCTCCGTTAATAAAAAAGTATACCTAGCAAAACTTCAAACGATACGTTTAGTAGCACTCCTACCTGCTCCACCTCGTTGGCTGTGTACTGCATCACTTCATTATGCTGCTCCTCCAACATATCCAAGTTTAACTCCTCTAAGAATTCATTTCTCTCATCATCCAGCCACCCTTCCTCCAGCTGCAAAGAATACATTAGTACATTACATTATGTTAGCAAGGACACATGCTAAAACAGGGTAAACCCAAATGGCAATGCTTGACTAGTTCTTTTTATCCTAATGATTCTCTTCAGAAAGCCAGGCAGTAGGAGCTCACGTCTCAAAAAGAGAAGAAGAAAGAGAAGGATAAAAAAAATGGGACTCACGCCTTTTATCCTTTCTTGAAACAGTATGACTGATTTTCTCTCATAATGAAGGAGACTGCACAGCACAGACATTATTTCCTTTCAAAAGGTATGAAAGGCACAGCGCATAATCCTGAAGCTGTCATGTTCATTACCGCCAAGAGACCCCGCGCTGAAAGAGTGGCAACGTTACTAACAGGTCCAGGAGGCAACCGGGCTCTTTCCTCTAACAGCCTCCGCCCCAGTGCTGTGCCCTGCTGCCACCACCTCAATAGAAACCTTATGTTGCATTTCTGTCACCGTTTTCCCATTGATCTTCCAGGTAAACAAACAAACAGAGGAGGGTGTCAGAAAGATGCAGTGACTTGAAGGGAGGTTATTTTTGTTCTCGTGGTGTGCCTGGAAGCAAGGCTTATCCATTTGCTTGGTTTTTTCCCCAAGTGTAAAATAATACTTTGACATTTGGTGAAGACAATGTTGCAAAAGGACAGGAGGGAATGCTATGTTTTCTGTCAAGTGATTACATCCTCTTGCCACACCCACATTTCACCCTTCACTTCTCTCTAAACTGATAAAACAGGCACCTCTGGCCAAAAATGCTATTCTTCCCATTTTTTTCACTGTGCACGTGTACACGTGGCACACATCCATTTGTGTCCGTAATCCCTTGCCAGATGGCACACTGTGTTGAAAAGGAAAATATTGGTCAGTGGCACTGCTGGCTATAATGACAAGATCATAGCAGAAGGAAGCAACTTCTTGTTGCTGCTAAAAGAACCAAAGGAAGATGGTGAGAAAAAGATGCTAAAAGTCTCAGCATTGGACAATTACAAAAGTACCAACTATTCATGTCTCAGGACAGCAAGAGCAATGTAACATATGTCAACACCTACTGAAGAACTACTACTGCCTCAAGGCCAGAAGAGCTCTGGGCACATGCCAGTCAGAATCTAAGTTACACCAAACCAGCAAGTGGTACTTCACAGCTACACAGTGAGTGAGTGATGCTGTGTGGTACTCCTAACTGAATACTGGCAGGAATCCACCATTTCCTTCACAAACTCTGATGTGTTTTTGCCTATGCCAATGAACTCTTCCCTCTTATAAAGAGCATCAGCCTTTCACCATTTCCCTCGGCAAAGCTAGCCTCCAAAAGTTTGGGATTAGAAGGAGGCTTTTTTTCCTGAGGACATGTAATTTTTTTGTTTGTCCTTAATGGGCCTTCCAAACCATTCTCTGAAACATCTGGTACTGGCCAATACTTTTGTTTACTTGTCTTGTTTTCTTTTTGTTTTTCTCCTAAGGAAAGCATGAATACAGACTTCCTTTACCATAAAGGATGCAGTTAAATCTCCCTCATTGGAGGAAATGGCAGAGATGAACAAATCTGGAGGACAAAAGATGAATCTCACTTAGGCAAATCTGCTGCTTTGACTGTGGCAGACCTAGTACCAAACTAACGGGAATGCTTATGTTACGCTACAGCTTTTAGAATAAAAATAATACGTGGCTTAGTATACATGTGCACTACATACACTGTGTGCACATACACACATGTGAACACACATGCCTGTGCCATTTGTTTACATATTAAACAGGCTGTGTACTCCTCTGGTACTCTTTTTCAAAACTTGATTATTTGGTATTCACTGTGCAAATAAATGGCCAGAGAAGGTTTTCTCCTTGTTATTGAATGATCGAGCTCAGCAGTCACCCTTCAAGACTGCAATACTGCCATTACCTTTTTCTATCTAGAAATAAAACCCTGCTTAATCCTGCTTTTTACCACAGTCAAAGCCACACAACTAGCAGAAATCAGTTTGTGGACAGCCTGATTTCTGACATACTATGGCTTTCTCTTCAGTTTTGTATGAACACATTTTTAAAACACATAAATTAAACAAAAAAGAAACCAACAACAAAGCCCCAAACCAAACCACACTTTTATAATTTGAAAGGAGCATCCATATGGGAAGCTATATTGGTACAGCTAAGTAAATCCTTATCTCATATTGATGTGACTTTTTTATGTTGACCAGTCTAAACAAATACAGAGAACAAACTTTCCCTGGGCATGTATTTTGCAAGAGGGTGGGTTTCTGTTCTGTACTGAAAAACAAAATCTTAGAGAAAAATAGTAAGAATAATATTGAAACAACTCTTTCAAAACTTCTGCAGCCTCCATTGAGGGCTACAATTTCACAATATAAACTGATGCATGGGTTTTTTTGCTTACTATGTCACCGATTTAATGGGAATTGTTTAGATTCCTGAAAAACATAAAGGAAATGAATGCTGAAATTATGAATCTTTTATAACTACTGTATTCAAGTAGAGATTCTGAGTGGCACTGAATTACACTTACTCAATTTAATTTATACAGAGTATGCAGCTAGCAAGACTGAGAATATCAGATCAATAGCATGAGAGACAAATGGCAACATAACCAACTCTGAATTGTTGGCAGATGGAGAGAATAATGACAATATAATGTCTCTCTGCTTTGCAATGGCCTATAAACAGAATATAAAGGGAAGTACAAACAGTACTCTTCTTCCACTCTACCTTTCCTTTAGTCTGATGATCAACCTAACATCTGCCCCCTGCAATGATATGAAAAATTCTTGCCATGGCAAGATTCTTGGCATTGGCATAATTTTATTTTTAAAACCATAAAAATTTTCTAAAAGCCTTTGAAAATGCACCTCCAAAGATACAACTTGTAATGTACAAGCAGGTTTTTGTTGAAAACAATTAGATCCAGGTTTGCTGAATGGTGTTGTAGTGAAAGTTCCACAACTGGTACCTAAATGAACAGTTTACATGCCTGCTTATAGGATAAAAAGAGCCATCACCAATGACCAACTACAGCTTTGAGTAAGTTCATACAAATGACTAAGTATGGCAGATTTATCCCCAGAACAAATGAGAATCATCCAAAGAGTAATAGTACATAATTTTCAAGTTCTACTTCATATTTTACTAATGTCATATTAGTGCTGTCAGCTTCATTTGTATACCTGCTTACTCTGTTTGCTGGAAAGGAATTGCTTAGCTTGGGGAAGACAAGCCCTAGTAATATCATGTTATTTTCTTTGTTGGCTAAACAGGGGCAAGACTCTGCAATTACCTGTTTCCTCCTTTTGTCAGGAACTTCAGCATTCATATTTCTCAGCAGTTCATTACTTACAGTGACAGTGAATGTACAGTATAACCCAGGTTCCGGCTCAGTGCATCTATTCAGTCTAACCTGCATCTCCGGTCTCGCGACCAGCAACACAATTTTCTTGCATTCTTCACTGGAGAGCAATGCCACTGCTTCTTCCCGATTCTGGACATCTTGGCCATTTATCTAGAAAACAAATGAAAGTGGCACATTAGTTTCTATTTCCACAAAGCAACACACAATAAAGGGCAGATATCAGCTCATTTGTGCTGAATGTATGGACGATGAAACTCGTGCAACGGGCTCATCTTCAGCCCCTCAGTGGTAAGTGCCTTCACTCAATTATGCGCTTACTGTAAGAGCTGTATCGATTGTTGAAGGATGGTGGACATCAGAGGAAGCAGTTATGTTCATAAATGTCCAACCTGCGCCCTGGTAACATACATCTAGCAACACAATTAACCAGCCCCTGACAGGTGACGTTCATCTTTCTCTGTTCAGAGTAATGGAAGTGTCACTCTGAGATAATAGTGCTGGTGGAAGCAAGACTGGTAATGCTACAGCTGAAATCAGTCACACTGTATGCTGGTAGAGAGCCAATTAGAGAGCCACAGTATTATCTCTCACCAGGCAATACTTACAGGCCACTGCTCATTGCTGCTCCATTTAATCATTTCATATTTGTGCGGACAGCTTAGTATCCAGAACCACACAAAACATATGTATCCCCCTTACAAAGGCATAATCAAAATAAAAGTGCTTCTCCAATGAGAATGTGCTTCTCTCACTACCTTTCTCCTGTTCTGTCACCTCATTAAAACGTCCACATCCATGACTACATGGTAACAAACACATTTTGCATTGTCCAAAAGCCTTTATTGAGAGAATCAAATAGAAATGTTATTTTCCATAAGTATTTGCTTTTGTCCAATTCACAGCACAAGAACTGGATTATTCTCATTGTGGCAACAAGAAAAACCCCAAAACTTGCTCTATTTGAAAATGGGTGTAAACAAAACTGGAAGACAGAAGGATCTGAATATTTTGGGGAAATAAAATCGTGTAAGTGTTTGATTTCAAAGCAGCAGGAACTTCCTGGTTGAAAAGTAAAGGAAAAGTTGCATTTCTGCACGTATGTTTGGCCTAAAAGCCAAGCTTGACTCAAAAATACAGGTTTAATTCAGATCAAAGAAAACCCCAGTGCATCCTGATTATCTAACCAGCAACGAGTAAAATGTCTGAGACCCTTCAAAGCTTACATGAAGGGATAGCTGTGGTCTGTGGGAGACCAGACAAGCACAGAGATGCAGCCACAGAGGTGCAGGAACAGATCCCCAGGTCGTTCAAAACCCCCCCAGCCACGGCGGCTTCTGCCGTGATTCCTATCAGCCAAACAACTGCCCCTCGCGGACCCTGGAGGTGGCATCCCTGCTGTCCCCACACAGCCTAGCGGCGCCCACCCCACGCCAGCTGCACCATCGGGGGGGTGAGCAGGACTTCAGCCTGACTCATGGGATCTCACTCCCATGGACAGCACTTGTCAGCCTGGAGGTTCACAGCTAAAAACAGCAAAAGTTTAGGCAAGTCTCAGCAGGACCGTCCTTATGAAACCTTTCCCTCGACTTTGTAACATTTCATGTAAAATACTCAGGTGGTTTGCAGATGCTTAAGGAGACTGTGAAGGTGACAGGAGAGGTGTGAGGTTTGTGAGAATGAGAAGGGGACAGTTTCAGCCTCAAAAACGTGAGGAAATCTGCTGTAATTTTGTGAGAAATACACAAAACAGAGTGTCCCTCCCAGCCTTAACCGATGCTATTCACCACCCACAGAAAATGCCCCCACGCTCAAGGATCTGGCTCTCTCCCAGCCTCAGTGTAATCCCCCTGTAATGGCACTGTCACCTTCTATTTCTCTGAGTTATCTCATCAATAAGAGTAGATAGAGGGTCAATGTGTTTTCAGATATGAAAGTAAACCCCACATAACTCTCTGGGTGTTAACCTTAATGATCAAACTCATAGCTATATATCAGCACTGACATTAAAGTAATGCTCCAGTCTACAAAAGGACGGCAGAATTACCTATGCTTTTCTCTCGCCCCTGGAGTCTTTTCTCACAATTGAAATGAATTTCATTAGGAACTGCAGAACATTTGCCCGAACTGCTATTGGCTCTTCACTTCACCCAGAAATTTTAGAAAGCAAGAACAGGAGTAGAAAATGGAGCTACTCTCTATTTCCTTATTTTGAAACAGTAAGAGTGAAAATTGTTTCTACTTGGTTGAATAAACTATTTTTTTTTTCTTTTTGGAAGTTAAAAATATCATTATATCTTGTTTGCTTTCTTCAGTACGTGTTTTATAGAAAGACGAAAAAGGCAGTGCACTGACTTTTCCACTCCTAGACACACCCCATAATGTGGTCCCATCACTCCAAGTACCACCAAGAGCTCACTGCCCTTGTACCGTGGCATCTGTGTCTTCTTGGGGGGAACACCATCTGTTCTGTGAACATTTTCACATTCCTAAACACACAGAGAATAAACCAGCAGCCCCTGAGTGAGCCCTGACATTAAAGTGTAACTGACTATTTCCTCTCCAAAAGATGAGCCACTTTGGTAAGCCAGCCCATAGACCCTGTTGTGTCAACTAGACTCCCAAAACTGATACCAGGGTAAGAGATACAGGGTACAGATTTCAGCAAAGACATTTCCTGCAGAAATGAAAAGACTGGAGGGAAGGAACAGGCTAATCTTGTGACAACCCGAAAGCTCACGTGCCTAAACTAATGAAGGGCAATTATGGAACTGGTTACAGAAAAGTGACTTATCACACTAGGAACTACTTCTCGGGCTTCAGTGAAAAAAGGTCAAAATACAAGGGAAATCGATTGGGAAGCAGAACTAAAATGCTACAATACACCACAGACGTTCCAGTTTACTGATTTTTGGCAGCTGTTTTGAGATTTTATCACTAGGGCAAAAAATATACTATTCACTGCCAGCTGAAAACAGAAACCCACTGCCATTCTACCTGCTTCCCTCTCTGTACACTGCCCTCCTCCACAGCCAGCCGCCAGCCACCCTCACCCACAGGGGCTCTGCTGTATCACACAAACCTATCTTGGGGGCAGCTCTTCAGATGAGTGGATCAATAGAAATAAAGGGAGAAAAAAAGCCAAGATGATGGATTAGAAAAGAGCTCAGAAAAGCAGTGTTTATTTGTGGAGGAAAGAAAATATTAACAAAAGCCTAATGAACCCCCTCCTCAAGGACATTCAAGATCATCATTCACTAACAGCACTTTTTGTTTTGTATGAAAACTCTTTTGCCATCTATGCTCAGTACACGTGAGTTTTACCCAAATTTATGTGATCGGTGAATGCTCACCAAGTCTCAGACACCCATATTTATGTCTGCAGGATCCCTGTTAGAATTTGACACTGAGATGAACATAGTGGAAATGAGATTTGCTAATAAATATGGCAAAAAAAGACATGGGACATAAGGGCATGAGCCAGAACGAGTTTGTCATTCTCATTTTTCAGTACACACACTCCAGCTCCCAGCTATTGTGTTAAAAAACAGACAGACATGGATTTTCTCATCGATCATGGTAACAAAGAGAACTACCTTCCCTCATTAACAGTTCACAGAGAAGACAGCACTGCACATTTGTCTGAAGAAAGAGTTTAAGGAAGAGTTTATTGTCACATACTTGCAAAATGCGGTCTCCTTCACGGATCCGGCCATCTCTGGCAGCAATGCTGTTTGGATCAACCTGCACATGACAATATCAGTAACTGAACACGGAAGGATTTTTACTGGAAATGAAAACAGCTGCACAATTTCACAGTTTGAAAAAGTACCGTTTTTACGGAGGCAATCTGAAGTTTCCTTTAGAGTCATATGAATTCAACAGTTCTTTAAATAATCATATAAGCTTGTTTCAGATAAAAGCCTAAAGACAGAAAGGGTTGGGAGCATATGATTTTTCAGCTTAATACTTTCCCATGCCACCATCAGGTGTTAACCTTCAGCTGTCAGAGCACTAAGAATTAATGGCAGAGTCTCTCTCCTCTGGAAGTTCACTATGGACTGAGGTGCTTCTGCAGTAGTTGATATGTCTATACAAATGGACCTGTCTTTGGGAAAAGAGCACGTTTATTTTTCTTTGATGGAAACATTTACTATTAAATGATTATCTCAGTTACCAATCCATTACTTCCTCTGGAATTTTGTAGCTTGTGAGGCAACAGCAAAAAACCCACAAAAGATCTGTATTGTATAGATCACTCCCAGGTACTGCTTCTGGTCTGAGTCAGTTAATTTTAAGTTAGTTTAACCTAAATAGATGTTTAGGGCTCCATTAACAGTTTATCAAAGTCACTATAGCTCATCCCTGAGCAATGACCTGCTGTTCATTGCAGGGCAATTCGATCTATCACCTTTCACTTGAGGGTTATCTTAAATCATTTATTTTGCCTTGTCATGCCATATGCTATTTTTTCAAACCAAACATTTGAGTTGAGCATTTGGTTTGCAGGTTACACCCTCTACAGCTGTTAGATATTATTTTCTCCTTGTGCATTGTCATAGAAAAAGAAATGATTCTGAAGTGCTTGATCAAGTACGAAAGACAATATAATTACATTCACTTTAAAAGGTCTGAGAAATTTCTACCATGTAGGAAAACCAGCACATTTCAGATATAAACCTGGAGTGTATTAAGAGATTCCTGCACTTTCTTTGTCCTCACAAGGTCAGACCGTGTCTTAACAACTGGTGGAAAACCTATTCTTGGGTAATTTTATATTAATTCCTCATTCTTGTTTCAAGGTTGTGCTTTTCAGCTTCCTTGACATTGCTGCTGGCCTGTGAATGTGCAATCTTGCCTTCATCCCTGTTCACTGGTATATAAAATTCTCTCTACTGATCCTCTCTGCCCATGAGCTTCACTCAGAATTTAGAATCAGAATCATAGGTCACTTCGCAAGTTGGAAGGGACCCGTAAGGATCATCAAGTCCAACTCCTTGCTCCTCGCAGGGCTCCCTAAGACTGAATCATATGACTAAGAGTGTTGTCCAGCCACCCCTTGATCTCTGACAGGCTTGGTGCCATGACCACTTCCCTGGGGACCTTGTTTCAGCAACCAACCACCCTCTCAGTGAAGAATCTTTTTCTAATGCCCAAATTCGGTTCAACATGTCATGGAAGTGACAAATTTGGAACAAAGTTCATGCAGGACAACCACCAGTGAGCTTGGACTCACAAGTCTTCTGCCTTATCCAGAAAAGCAACCCTCTTTGAACGCCTAGAGACCCAAAAGGAGCTAGTGGTCCTGGAAGTCTTGCAGACTGACCCTGTGAAATACTAACACCCTGTGATACGTGCTGGATGCCAATGTTTTCCCAGTGAAGCCAATGAAAACCTTAGGGTTCATCCCACCTCTCAGTATCCAGATTCTACTTTTTGCTCCCAAGCGACTCTATCCACCCACCTGCGGTATGTCTGTGTGTACCACAACCGTAATAAACCCACAAATAATAAAATAATGATTATCCACTGTTACGATTACTGAGGCTGTGGCAGAGAAAGAATGCAAGCAAGGTGTGGAGAAGGTGCTTTTCTTCTTAAACACTCTGCCTGATCTCCATCATAAGGGCAGATTTCTTTCAAAATTCAGACCGTGCTCAGACTGCTTTGTACTTCCCTAACTATGATGTTGTAGTTAAAAGCATTCACATTAAAGAAGCTCACCAGTAATAATTACACTACTTGGGCAACATAATTTAAACTGATAATCTAAATGAATCGAAAGTGACACATGCTGGCTGATGGCCAACACTTCTGCACTCTGGTCTCAGAGCACTTGCTCTTACATTCCCTGGCATGTTCAGCCTTCCACCACAAGCATCTCCCACGCTCCTCCCCATTGCCACGTCCTTACCTCGCTGACATAGATCCCTGTGTCCTCCTCATCATCGGTTCTGTAACAGACAGTGAGCCCCAGCTTCTCCTGGCTGTTAATCCGGCACAGCTCCACCTCCTACAAGAAAACACACAGGCTCGTACGGTGGCTTTTGCCAAGGGTGGAAAAAATTGTGTAGTGAAAGGGAGCACCAACCTGCTGGCATACTCATACTGTAGAACATACTCATACTGTATGACTTACTCATACTGTCCAGTCCCAAGTCACAATATTTTATGTGCATCTTTAAGAGGCAAAATATTCTGTGACGTGAGAAGGAGAAAACCCAGTACATTGCAGGTTCAAGCTGTATAGAAACAGTTCAGTAAGGCATGCTGAACTTTGAGAAATATGGCTGTGCATTGATTTTGCAGGTTTTTTGGCTTTTGGATAATAGAAGCTGACTTACAGTATATTACATAGTCATTTTAGTCCTATCACAGCAACTATTGATTTACAGGATATAAGACAGACTGGCTACACATCAATCAATCCATCACAAAAGTGCTAGTCCCTTCTAACAGCAATTCAAGGCATAAAGCAAAAATACAGCCTTCCACAGTTTAGTGCCATAGCTTCATTGTAGAAGCTGTTAGGTAACATAAGGATGCTTCAAGGAATCTCCCGTGGAGCTGAACAGCCGTGGCATCCTCCTCAATTGTGAGATGATGCAGAAAACATATTTTTATTGCCAGATGTCCCAGCAGTGGCATCTCATGAAAAGTGAAAGTTTTAGGGCAGATGGCACAGTGATAACTACTACATACACCCATCTGAGTTAAGCAACTTTAGGGTTTCATGGGGGAATCATTCAAAAAAAATCACAAAGCTGCACTTGGTTTGAACACTGTGAAACAAATAATTGTAACAGAGCATGATGAATCCAGTAACACAGAGTATTAGCTTGGTTGCAAATGGGAAACTTTAGTTGATATATGTATTTAAAGGGAGACTGCAGGTGACATTTGGAGCTTAAAAGCTTCTCATGGCTGTGCAAAAAAAGAAGAGAGACAAACACATGCTTCAGTTTTCAGTCCGTGATACAGAGCTTGTTTCTCCCTGTTCCCAGAGATGTCACTCAGATTAATCCCTAAACAGGTACAGGACGCACAGCAGTGAGGACTCACTACTGAGTCCAACTGAGTTGTGGGTACTAGGTGTCAAAATACTACAACTTACAGAAAAACCTGCAACCAACGTACACATCTACATGGGTTCAGTACCTGCATAAACCCTATAAACTTCTCCCTGGACTTTGGACATTTGATGTCTTAATGAAAACTAAGAAAATGCAGAAAATGCCATGAAACCTGTAGTATTCTTTGTTCTTAAATATGGCAGGAGTTTTAAATAAGGCGGTAAGAAGTGGAATTAGTTGCCAGTACACTTTATACATTGGGTTTGAAAGAAGAAACATGGAACAGTGTTTTATTAGGGAAGAGAATCTCAGTGACCTGATTTTGGCATTGGGAGGAAAAGTATGTGTACTGGAGGGAGGCCTATTCAAAACCCATAATAATTGATGTCTCCAGAGGGAAAGAACACTTGACTAGAACTGTAATATTAGGGAGAAATTACAGTAACAAAATGGCTTCAATTACAGCAACAAGGTATACTTTTAAGGAATAAAGAAGCTTGCGGTCCCTTGGAGGCCTATAAGGAAGCCTAAATACACCATAAAGGACTGAGACTGGGACCTTTAAATCAAGGCAAATGAGGAGCTGTGCACAAGCTGAAATCCATTGACTTTCATTGTCCTGCCAGCACAACCTCCTTTCTCCCTGTGCTGAGGCTGGACAGGGGCCCCAAGGACTGCTCTGAACATAATTTCTCTGGTTGGGAATGACCTTGAAGTTCTTGTGGATGATTTGTCTAAAAACGTTACTACAAATCTGTACGAATGTTTCAGGCTGCAAACAAATGGAATTTTCTCAGTGCACTGGCTCAATGAGCAGAATGATTTAACCACTTACGGCATTAAAGAGCAAAGGAAAATGACGACGACCCTAAAGGCTCCACTTGGGAGTCCAAGAGGTTTGCTAAAACTGTCTCTGGGAACCAGCTGATGACAAATATCAGTGACTAATATCCTCTGACTGGGATGCAACGGCCCTGGCTGCGCATAGTGCTCGAGTTGCCACAGCTTTCTTTCTCCTTCTAGTAACAGAGATTAGAGCTGAGAACTGTACTCAGCACTCTCGAGACTACCTCTTTCCTAAATGTCTGCATGGGGCATAGTCTGATGACTGTGTATGATTGTGGCCACTTAGAAGCTGTAGATACCTATGACTGAGATACTGCTACTTAGTGTTAAAGGCTCAACAACCATTTCATTTATTTCAGTATAGGCTCAAGTACATACTTGAGCAATATCTCCTTCAGCATGAGAGAGAAGTTGGATAAGGTCTCTTGCTTTGCATTGGAAGTCATTCCAGATAACTGCCTTTTTCTCGCTGCACATCTGCACGACTAACCTCACAGCATCTTCTTTTTTACAGCAAACATGCTACATCCTAGTCACATTCAAACAAATCAGGGTTGACAAAAAAGTTTGGAAAATTTAAAAGCACTTAGTGTAAAATACTAAATCATGTCTCTGAGCACAAGTCTGATCTTTAACTGTATATAACAAGCACATCTGAAAACACTTGAACAGAAGGGCAGCAATTGAAACACTAGAGAACCTGGACCATCATGGTCAAATGCATTTAACACTGCATTTTGCGACAGATGCTTTTTAGTGTTTGTGTTTTTTTTTTTTTTTCTCTCAACTGGTCTTTAACAGAAGAAACAATAAGTTTGGCAGCAGTAATGACTTCGTAAGAATGTAATTTCCTTCTCTGAAATCTCTTTAGATACATGCATACATGCACACACACATATAGCTGCTTTCTCTTTGGGTTTTGTGCGTGTACATGTAGGGATTGAACTGACAGTCTTCAAAATTCAGCATTTTAAAAATCTTTGAGAAACAATATCTGGACATTCATGAAGAGTGCTGACAGACAGATGGTGGAAGGAAAGGGACTGAGGAGACAGCTCAGGAGACGACAGCCTCCCCCTCTTTTGGGTGCTCTGGGGGCAGCTGCCTCTCAACACAAAGTATTCTGCTGCCAAATGACAGAAATCAATGCCAAACTGCTAAATCTTTGACTTGCTGCTTCTTTCTCTGTGTAGGCAGAACAATAATTCAGTGCATTGCCACAGTGAAGAAAATACTTTAAAGTGTTTTGCCATAAATTATTTGGTTAAAAGATAGACATGGAAATTAGAATAAGGACTACCTTGTCTTGAAAGACTGGGATGCAAGTTTCCAAGGTAGCTCATTTCTTCAGACATAGAAAAGACAGCAAAGAGGCACAGGTCATGCTCCCAAAGGACTGAAAACCAGTTATACTGGTCATCCTCTAAAGTGATGGAGTAGTGGCTGTAGCCTCTGGCTCCCAATCACTTCAATGATGGAAAACGAGTTTACAGGCTGTCAGTCTCAGGAGACGTAAGACCAAACAAGAAGCTGTCACCTCTTTGGGGAGGGAAGGCTAGGTTAATGCTGTCATTTCTCTCAAGTGGTAGAGAAGTAGATTGTAAATCTCATCAACTGGGTTGTTGGCTTTCTAGAATTGCTGAAAAGAGGTTAAGGGCTATTAAAGGAGACCTTGTAAAAGTTTGCATGAGTTTGCAGCTGTAGTGGGTCTTTCTATTAAAAGCTAGATTACAAAGAGTAAAGCTTATGGTCTGTTAGAAAACAGATCATGAACCCTTCAGTGACCATTCTTAAACAGTCTTTTTGGGGCAAAGAGAGCTCTGAACCCTTCACATTTTCCCTCCACACACTGGAAAATAGATTACAGCCTAAGAGGTAAGTTGGTAAAGTTTCTTCTTGCCACACTCAGAAGATGTTGACAAGAGTTAGCCATCTGATGACACTGTGCTGGATTAACTGCATACATGGAAAGCTTCCTCTGCCCTATTTTTCTTCGCTGACCACTCTGCCAATGGTCTCTACTAAGCCATGCACACCTTTGAATCCTTCCCCCACTTTCTGTCAGGATTAGCTACTCCCTGTTCAGCACTATTCAACCCAACCATAGTGTGGCTGAGCTCTGTCCCTGTCTCATCATTGCCTGTCAGACTCACCTCTATTTGAACGATCCTGCCCTGGCATCCCTCTCCACTAACACAATCCTTCTGTCCTCATCTTCAAAGCCCTTCTCAGTTCACTCTTT